TGCTTATGCTATGAGTTATCTAAATACACACATTAAAGCCCCTGGAATAGCAGTTTGGCCTATTGCAGACAAATTCTTTGTCTCTAGGAACATTTCTGGTTTGAGTTTTGTTTTTTTTTTTGGGGGGGGGGGAATCAAAGTTTATTTATCAAAACAGTGAAGTCCAGTGTAATTGGATGTGACTAAGGGCAAGAAGTTAGTGTTCACATTTACAGAATTCGAGTTGATGTGTTTCAGTTGTGGGAAAAGAGAGAGAACTAACAATTCTAGCAAATCAGGGACTATTCACTCTCTCCCCAGCATGGCACCCAGTTTCAGTATCCCTTAACTGTGAGCATGCAGACCCAATGCTGTACTGCTTCTACCCTGGATGCTCATTATGTCCGAATACATTTATCATTAAACAAGGTGCAGCCTGCCATTCAGTTGATACTGGTGTATTACTTTCTTGGGATCAATAAACTCTGTTTATTGTAATCAATACATTACATGAACAATACAATTTTCTTATTGCTGTCCAACCTTTCTCACACTGCATTTTGGCCAAAATAAGAATACATATGGGTTTGCATTGTGAAACTCTTCTTTGACCTTACCCAGGATGGCCACAGGCATGTAACCACTCAAATTATGGTAATAGAAACTCTGATTTTTAGGCATTCTTAAACATGCATTTCTTGGGGAGCTATGGGAGAGAGTTTACTGAACTGCAAAATGCCTATGCATTCTATTGTCTTTTATTTTCACTGAATGGTATCAAAATGATTATTTAGTGACTGTCAGAGCTATGTGTATTTTCTGAAAGTATTTAAGAGTTTCTAAGTGGTATGAGGCCAGTAGTCTCTCTTAACTGCATTGTCTTCTACCAACACCTATTGTTGGCTCCAGAAAAATGTCACATGCTTGCTAGCCAGGCTGGGCCTTAGCCTGTTAGTGCAGTGCCTGTCAGAAATCATTAGCTACTGATCTCTTTGACTAATGTTCCAGTTGATTGTCTGATTCATGTTCAAGATCTGTAAATGAGGCAGAAGCATCTTTATTGCTTACCAGCTGTGAAATGGCTAAACACAGCTAGATTTTCAGAAATCAAAATAAATGTATTTCCAATAAAGTTTGACAACAATATCAAGTGCAAAGCTGAGACCAGAGCTATGGGTTTGTGGTTTTTAAAGTTACAGTATTATAAATCAATATTATGCCTTCATGTTTTTGTCAGAGTAATGTATTTTACCAAAATAGCAAAATACTGGTAGTAGCATTAATCTTGTGTCGAGTTGGATAGATATTCTTCATTCAACATAAATTCATACCTTCGATTTTTACTCTTTTGTCCATTATCCCCAGATGTGTCAATGTTTAGGACAGCCTATGGCCTTTTGTCTGAGTCCTCAGTGTATGCTAACGAGGTATGTGCATGCTTTTGCGTATGCATAAAAGTACAGGTGTGACAACAACAAAAAAAAAACAAAACTGGGGTTTTGAGGAGGGAGAGTCTTAGCGGAGGAGCTGTTTTATATTAATAGAATAACCCCACAAGGGTCATACTGGCATAATGCTGAGATAACTAGAAGCAAATCTGCTCCTGGGATCTGACTAATATCTTTCTTGGCAAAGGGGGTAAACATGAAAATCACCGCTATCTACAGAATCAGTGCAAGAGCTATATGACAAATAGGCTCTAGTTTGAGGATTTAATCAGAGCTTGTTACTTTATCTTTGCACTATAACTAATTGTAGCCACAATAGACTTACAAAGACCCAGGAAGAGAGTTGATTTTGGAAAGAGGTGCTCCCACAGTAGCTATCGCCCTTCCAGATGCACCTGCGTCCAGCTTTTGTTGCTGAACAGGAAAACAAGGGAAATTGTGCAATGCATCCTGTTGTTTGGTTTTTTTTTATTTATTCCTATTTTGGAACCATAAAAACTCCTTTTTCTCTTTCTCCCTTTCTTTTCCATTTCTTTCCCCTTTTCTCTTTCTTTTCACCTTTCCCTTTTGCCTTTTTTTTTTAACTCTGCATACACCAAAATAATACTGGATAGCATGTAGGACAGTTGTCTGCAATGTGGAAGACAAAGTTAGAGTCTTCACCCTGCCACCTTCCCACATTCTGCATAAATAAGAACAAGCAGTTGAAATCCACTCTTCATTTCTTTATGAATGACTTTTTTTATGAATGACTTTTATTGTCATTTTATTTTGGGTTTTTTAGCTGGTAATTCTACTGTAGACCCACAGAAGTATGAAGTTTGAGACAGTGTGCTTTGTCATACAGAGCCAAAAATTAATTCATTATCAGAATCAGTGCAGTTTTCAGAATTTTTATATTGTTAAACTTATCTTACATTTTCTTTTCAGAGGGAGAAAAAAGTGTACATTATTCTGATCTGTTCAACTGCATATACAATGGTATTTTTCTACTAGTTGCTAGGAGTATCAAACTCTCTGAAACAGTATGGAAATTTTATAATGGAGTCTAGCATGATCAGGATAAATTTATTGCAACAGCTTACTTCCTCAGAAATCTTTGTACATAGCAAAATAATACTAAAATTAAAAAAAAAGAAAGACATTTTGCCCCTTCAGTAACTCTAAATCTCTGAATCAAACATTGTTACCAAGATGACATTTTAATGCACAATATTTACCATAGAATACTGAAGGAGATGAATGTTGTTTTAATAATGACACTTTTGCTTCTCCAACGTTTACATGTTAATCCAGCATTTCATCCAGCCCTATCTCCACTTCTTTTTCTATCCTGAATGTTGAAGTTAAGGCATGAACCATAATTGAGGAGGCTCCCCTGCACTTGCTCTACATAAATGGATACTGGGCAACTGTAGTGTACAGGGGCACTGCACAGCTCTTTTCCATCAAGAATACATCCCTTTCTGTGTCTGTATGTAATATATGAAGCTGGAGGAGTTACTTAAAATACAAGCATATTTTGTATTATATTTCTACTTCTAATACATGATATTTTCTATTGTAATTTATGAAGATTTCCTCCCTTTCATGTAGATGATTTAATTATTGTTATTTAATCATTATTTAGAGTGAAATGTCTGATTTGTATAACATAGTAGTAATCTGGGACGAAAATGAGCACTTTTCATCAATACAAATAAGTGGCTTTATTTATTTACTTACTTCTTTCTAGTAACTGTTTCAGGGATGCAGTGAACCAACTTTTTACTTTACCTACTCTGTCTAGGTTTTCCCTTGGTTTTAGCTGTACTTTTTAGGCTTTTTCATATCTTTAATAAAAAGAAAAGTACAGTAGCCCAAGCCTTAGGCACCAAAGTAAAATTCTTGTGCTAGATAGTAACAACCAGAGGCCTAGTTAAATATTGCAGAGGGCAGTTTAAAGTCTTTCAGGATTTCAGTCCTGTACATAAGAGTTTTGGAAACCTCCTGACACTTTTATGGCAGGTTTTCTTATATGGACGCAATTACTACAACAAATGTTGTAGCTCCTCTGGGTTAAATGCAAACCCAAGAACTGTTTTTTGGACACTTGTGTGTATCTCTGATATCATCCTGGAGTATTAGAAGGACACGCTACAAGCTTTGACAACTTTGAGTTTTGGGCGAGTTTTGAACTGATGTGACAACTTACTAACTGAGGTGTCTTTATGCTCTTTTTGTCATCTTGTGCATTGAAAATGACTCAATTGAGAATGACTCAATTGAGAATGACCTTCAAGTATAACATGCAATGCTAATGTACCCGAGAATATAACTGGTAAGAAAGTACTTGAGTATGGTAATTAGTGCAGTGCATATTAATAAATGCTACTTTTTGTGCAGAGCTTATATAACAAAAAAAAAAAAGAAAAAAAAAAAAACAAAAAAAAAAAATAGCCTTGTCCAAGGATACTCCTGCATGGAGTAAAACTCTTTCAAGAACAAGCAAATCTGAGTAGTGGAAACTGGTAGAAATGGTGACATCCACAGCATTAGCATACACAGCTTGTTTTCTTTTGACCCGTGTACTTTTTTCAATGACAGCGGATGCAGTCTTAATAGAAAATGCCCTATCTTTTATCTTAGTTTAAATAGGCATCTTGGGGCATGCACGATACTGTCATATGTCCCTGGGTATCTCCCATCCCCCTTCAGAGCTGGTAAATGACATTCACTACTCCTTTCTTAGAAATGTGCAAAAAGGATTTCCATAGATCGGCTTTGGAGATTTGCTGTTTCCTCATGTGTGTAATAGGTTGGGTCAAGCAATAAAGAGGAGGGAGGAAAGAATAAGATTTAATTTTATATGTACTCTCCCATCATAACCATTGGCAACAAAAGGGCTGAAAAGAGAAATTATGCAATAGTAGTGATGGCAGTGTTAAGATCACACATTTTTATACAGCAGCTGTAAGCCTATGGTTAAGGAAGTGGTCATGATAATGGAGCATTCCCAGCCAATGTTAACAAACTGCTTGTGTGTGCAAATAGTCATAAAAATAACAACTTTATCTGCATTTTTTTAAGGCAACATAAATTAAATGAATAGCCTATAAATTATTGACTTCCCATGCATCCAGATTCTACTAAGAAAAGTTGTCAAGTTGATAGTTTAAAGAAAGAAAAATATTAAGTTTATTTCATCTTATTCTAAAACACTATGAATGCAAAAGATACCATCTTCAGGTATTGATTATCAGACATTCATAAAAGCACAGCCTGTTAAAATCTTTTAAATTATGGATAAGGAAATTTATATTGTGAATCAGGTAATATCCCTTTGGCTTTGCAAAGTGCTAAAATACAGGGATTTAAATGCAGGTTATATCTCTTTAATTTGTAATTATTGAGTAGTTTCAAATAACTATAAGTAATGATCAAAAAACTAGTCTCATTACAGCTAATTAAGGAAGAAATGTACAAGTGGGAAAACTTTTAATTTTGTGTTTCATATGGACACAGAGACTGAAAAAAAAAAAAGTATAAAATCTTAGCATTGTATTTATTGGGTTTTGTTTTCCTGTTTCACAGACTTTGGACACCTCTGTAAAAATCTTCACACCACTTTGTGATTCTGCTGGCCTAAGCAGAGCATATGCAGCTATAGCCAAGATCCTGGTAAGGTAGGTTAGGACATCCTTGTCAGTGCAGATTCATTCAACTGTGAAAGACTTAAATTGTTAGAGGTCTGTCACTTCCCATTACTGACTGCTTAAATTTTAAGCAGTGCCCTTCTTGCAGTAAGTGACCCTTTCATGGAAAGTTATTTGAAGCTGGTACATATTTTCTGAAGTGTATGATCCAAGCTTTTCTTTACCTGTAAACTATAATATGTCCTTTTCCCCTCCCTACTTTGGGAACTGTGGTTTTTTGTATGTTTGTTTGTTTTACCCAAGACTGGGAGAGATCTTACTGGAAAATGGGAATCCAGGCATATTTTCCAGGTTAAAAAGACTTTAAAGAATGTAACAAGCTTCAGCAGGTGTCTCAGTGTAATCTCTCTGAGCTCTAAGTTTCTATTTATTGTACTCTCTTCTGTGGAAGAATTTGTAGTTTGTACATGTGTAACTAGATATAAATTTGTCGCAAATAAAATGTTTGTCTTCAATGTTTTCCTTTCAGCATCTGAAATTAAAATCTAATTCCAGGTGAATTTTTTTTTAACTCTTCAACTTGTTACACAAATAATTTTGAAATGAAGTTGTCTAATGTAATTATCTTATGAAATAAGAAACATAAAAGAGGTTAAAATTAAGGTTGCAACTTATCCTTGATTCCTCCTATGTTTGGGGACTTCAGTGCATATGATGCTTGATAGAGGTTGGCAATTTTTTTATAGAGGAGGACTTCTCACTAGGTTTATTTCAGTGTACAGAGAAAATTCTCCTGTCTGAGTTAGATCCCTTTTCTCTCAGAGCACATAGGGGCTAGCAATAATCACAGGTCTCTTCAGTTCCCTAATATATAACTTACAGCTACCACCCTCATTGTAAAATATTTCTTCCTAACATCTAATCTAAATCTACCCTCTTTCAGCTTAAAACTATTACCCACACAAGGGTATCACAACAGGCCCTGCTAAAAAGTCTGCCACCATCTTTTTTATAAGCCCCCTTAAGGTACTGAAAGGCCACAATAAGCTTTCCCTTCAGGCTCAACAAGCCCAACTGTCTCAGCCTGTCTTCATAGAAGAGGTGCTCCAGCCTTTCTGCAGACCTGCTTCAACACCTCCCTGACCTCAACATGTCTTAGCATAGCTTCTGGGAGGATCTGCTCCATGATTTTTCCAAGCAGAGAGGTGGGACTGACAGGTCATTAGTTCCCATGGTCCTCCTTTCTACACTTTTTTAAAAATAGGAGCAATGTTTCCCTTTTTCCCATCACCAGGCACTTCACCTGGCAGCCATGACTTTTCAAATGTACAGCCAATTCTCTTGGGACTCTGGGATGCCTCTCATCAGATCCCATAGGCTTATGTATGCTCAGATTCCTTGGGTATTCATAAACCTGATCTTCTCTTGCAGTGGGAGGGATTTTGCTCCCCTAGTCAACATCTTGCAGTCCATCCACTTGAGAGGTGTTAAAAGAGAGGTTGCCAGCGAAGACCAAGCCAAAAATTTGTTGCGTACCTCAGCCTTCTGCTGTCTGTTGTTACCATTTTGCCAGGAGTAGTCATCAGGGGGATATGCTTTCTTTTCTGGCTGACATACCTTTAGAAGCCCTTCCTGTTATTCTTTGCATCCCTCGCCAAGTTCAGCTCCAGCTGTGCCTTGGTCTTCCAGACCCCATCCCTACATAGCCAAGCAGCATCCCTATAATTTTCCCAGGGTATGTGTCCCTACTTCCACTGCCTGTGCATTTTCTTCTTGCTCTTTAGTTTGACATGCGGGACTTGACTCAGCCATGCTGGTACTTTGCATTCTTTTCCTGATTTCTTACACCTGAAGATTGAGAGCTCTTGTGCTCTATGGAAAGCATCCTTAAAGATCTGCCAGCTGTGTTATGCTCCCTTGTCCTGAGGATGGTTTCTCAAGGGGTCCTATTGACTAACTCCTTGAAGAGCTAGAATTTTGCTTTTTCAAAATTCAGCATCCTGACTTTATTCCTCACCTGACCCATATCCCTCAGGACTGTGAATTCCATCAGTGCATGATCCCTGCAGCCCAGGCTGCCTCCAATCTTGATGTCATCAATTAGCTCATTTTTGTTGGTGTCTAACAGCTCCAGTATCACATCCCCTCTTGCAGGGCATTCTGTTACCTGGCTTAAGAAGTTAGTCTCAATGCAGTCCAGGAGCCTCTTGGATTGCCTGCAGCTCACTGTGCTACTTTTCCAGCAGATGTCACTATTTTGAAATCCCCCAGCAGGACAAGAGCCTGCAAGCACAACGCCTCCTGTAGCTGGAGTAGGAAGCCTTCATCAGTAGACTCCCCTTGATTGGGTGGCATGTATTAGATGTTTCCTTTGCTGCCTTGGTCTCTAATTCTTACTCATGAGCTTTCAACCTGCTTATGGCTATTCTTCAGAGACAGCTCTTCACACTCTATCCATTTCTTGATGTAGAGGGAAACCCTTCCACCTCTCTTTTCTCACCTGTCTCTTCTGAACACCCTGTAGCTATCAATAGCTATACTCCAGTCATGGGATACATGTCTCAGGTAAGATATATAATCTGTCTGTGGGCCTTATGTCTTCTGTAATGCTTGAACTCCATGACTGAGGATCATAAGACTTGTGAAGCTTTTATCCATTTTCTTCAAAGGCTAATTCTGTTAGGAGGTGTAACAGATCATGAAACACCATTCCATAAAACCCATTCATTCATTGTTTTAAGTAGAAATGGATAAACTCCATTATAACTTTCACTATATCACAAGCAGCAGAAATAGCTGAGTCTGTAAAGTATCTCTGACATGAGAAAATAGCACAAGCAACATTTGAATTGAGTGTTGAAGAAGCTGTCCAAATCAAGGCTGCTTTCAATTATCTTTGAAAGGCTGTAGCAACTAGGGGAGATTCCTGAGGACTAGAAGGTTGCAAATGTCACTCACTTCTGTCTTAAAGGGAGAGGATCCAGGAAACCTCATGCTGGTCAGACTTGCTCTTATCCCTGAGAAGGTGACAGAGCAAATGATCCAGAAGCAATTTTCAAACATATTAAGGACAAAAGGGTGATTAGATTTAATAATCTAGGGAATTTGTACTTCACCAACCTGATAACTTTCTATGATAAGATAACTGGCTCAGTGGAGAAAGGAAAAGCAGTGGATGTTGTTTCTCTCAATTTTAGCCAGGCTTCTGTCATTATCACCTATAACCTCTTCATAAATAAGCCGATAAAATATGGCTTAGATAAATAGAAAGTGAGGTACACTGAAAACCAGATGAGATGCTGTTCTTCAAAGAACTGTAAACAGCAGCATGAGGTCCAGTGGGAGGTTAGTTACTAGAGATGTACTCAGACAATAGTACTGACACCAATACTGATTACGATCTTCATTAAGAACCTGGATGATGTGACCAAGTGCATCCTCAACCTCTTTGCAGACAATACAAAATAGAGGAGAAATGATTGATCCATACATAGGTGGCTGTGCTGCCCTTCAGAGGGACCTCAGCAAGCTGGAGAAATGAGCCAAAGGCAGTCTCATGAAGCTCGGGAGTGGGAAATGCAACATCCTGCATCTGGGGACAAATAACTCCAGGCACCAGCCTAGGCTGTGGGATGACTGGCTGGGAAGGAGCTTGGCAGAGCAGGACCTTCAAAAGTCACTCAAAATTCCACAGGCCTCCTCTAGCTGACCCTGCTCTGAGCAAGGTGAATGGAGATAGCTCTGGAGATCCCTTCCAATCTTAACTATACTCTGATTCTGTGTTGCTGTCTTAAGCAGTCCTAGATAAATTGTTTTGCCATGTAATGCTCTCTGGCAGAACACTTTTGGTAACCCAGTGTGATGAATATTTCAGGCAAACCTACTTCTTAAAATTCAGTAACAGAATTTTTCATGAATAAAATCATGCTGATCTGACTCTACTGATTCTTCCTTATAGGCGGAAAAGGCAGAGAAAAACGGTTTGATAAGCCAGCATAGGGACATTTAAAAAAACATTTCTGTTTACTTTCACACCAAACTTTTGGATATTTAATTGTCTGATTTATAACAAACAAGCAAATTTCTGTCAAGCCTGTTCAGAAAACATTGGATAAATGCATGAATACATACTGTTGGTGACAGAATTTCCATACTCAGCTTGATCACTTTTTCTTTACTTGTATTTTTATCTGATCTAGGCTAGACTTGTGCAAATAATAATTTGATGTGTAATGTCTTTACAAAGAAAAGATGGCTGTTTCTCTAAAATAATATGTTTTAAACATAACATCTGAGAGTTCACACTTACTGCCTTGTGACAGGTTGTAGGAAGTCAGCTGAGCCTTCCTAAATCACTCAGAACTTGTCTATAGCTTTGGAATATTTTGTGAAATCTATTCCAGATGTTTTCACAGACCATGGGAAACTAAAAAACTCTATCATGTGCATTTAGGCATGTCATTTTCCAGGGAAAAATCTGACATAATAGCATCGTGTTCTTGACTTATTCTGCAGGTGTCCACCATGGTAATGACTTCTTGTGGACACATGATTTATACATCCAATTCAATCACATGAGCAATCCTATAAAAGGTGCATATTTTCATAAAAGTCTAATAGGGGTAAAAATCTCATAGGGCATTTTAGCATGAAACTGGAAAATGAGTTGCTGTAGATCTGTAATCTCTTCTGCTGAAGTCATCATAACTGATCTGTGGGATCATGAATGACTATATCTTTTGGAAATTACATTTTATGCATTTAAAGAGGTGATGTCTAAGGAGATAGAAAGTATATGGCTGTATAAAATAACAGGTAGGTTTTTGAAGGAACTATAAAATATTAGCCCTTTGAGTAGGAAAGACCTGTTCATCGTGTTATTGGGTCTTGTACAGGATAAAGTGTTTCAGTAATCCTTCTAGCATACTTTAAATATCTCAAGCTGGAGTGCTTTTAAAAGTACTTCCTTTGAAAAATTGTTAAACTCTACCAACCGATTGCTAGTTGGCATAAGTGAAGTTCTAACAGTGAGGAATATCTTTCTGATATATCAAACTGATTTCTGTTTGAAAGAGGTTATATGCCCTAGCAATTTTCATATTTTTTATATGCAGAGCATAGGTTTTTATGTGAAATACAAAAAATGACCAAAAATACATCAAAACATTTCTATTAATTCATGAAATTAGGAAAACCTTTTTACATTTTCTCCTGTCACTGATTCCATTTGCTTTATTACTTTCAGCCTCTAGCCTGCAAACTTGGTGGCACAATCAACAAACCCCTTAGTGGCTGTTTCATCTCTGCTTTATTTGATTTCTCCACTCTGAGTAAATGATTAAGTTTTCATGCATTGGTTCAACCAAAATCTATGTTCACTCAACCACATCCTTTATTGATTACTTCTACTGCAAACAGTAGGCCAAGTGTGATATACATAATTGGACAGTTGTCAGGGGATGTGGGTGTTAACAGTCCTGTTTTCCCAATTGGAAATTGGAATCACCTTGATACACAAATATTCTGCACTGTTTCATTCTCATTCCTTGGACCAAGGAGTCCTTTTCCTCAGAATATATTTTTTTAACTCTCAAAGGTCTGGTTGAATGGATTTAATGATTATACCATATAATACGCTCTTCAAGTTGCACCTGTGCACTGCATATAGAAAACTAGAAAAACTGGAATTAATATTTGTCTAACACTTTAACCTTGTCCTTTAACTTATATAAATCATATGCTGTGTTTCTGTGGAGGAACATTTGATTTTCTCTTCTTAGGAAAAAAAAAAATATTTAAAAAAATGTGTTTCTAATTCTAAAATTTAGAAGCCTTTTGATGCTTGGCAGATGTTTACAGTACAGCATATTTAATGTTCTCATTATATTAAAATACTTAATTAGGAAACTGTAGTAAATCCAGCTCTGCTTATTGACAACTAAGGTTTATGGTAGCTTATAACATGTGGTAGTTGGTTTGCAGTGTTTTAGCATCTTTTTCTAGGAATCTAGCTCATCTCAGTCACATAGATAATCACTGCAATATTGTAAATTTGCAGCCATGTTTTGTTGTGTTTCCTATTCTGGCAGGGTCTATCCTGTTATAATTACTCTAATGGGAGGGAATTGCAGACTTCTGACAGATTTTGAAAGCACATATCCCTAATATAGTTTATAATAAAAACTGTAATGTAAATGAACCTCAGTCATTTGCTGCAGGAAGATAACTTTAAGGTGTTTTAAAATGGTGATAAATAAATCACAATTCTTTATCACTTACAGGAAATTCTATTTCTTGAGTTTCTTAATTAAGCCTAGATTTTTCTGGCTTGCTTGGTGGCTTGACATTTAGTATGCTATGCTCCTACATTAGTGACTCAAGTTCATGGCTAATATTGAGGTCAGCTGCAGCAACGCTTAAGCCTTAAAGGGAAAAAGAGTGTAGTGGCTTACTCACAAGCAAACCTAGATATCTATCTTATGTCTTGTAATCATACTGCAGAGATCTTATATTGTTAATATGACTGGCTTTATTAAAAAATAAAGGAAATCTGCAAATGTTACTGTCAAAGTACATTAGCCAATTTTCAACTTAGATTCAGCTGTGACCTCAGGTTGCTCTGATCTCACTGGGATTTGGGGGTGACACCTGCAATCCACAGTTTATAGGTTTGCCTGTGTGATTCCAGCAGCCTTTTATCCACCCAGCCAAAGTGCAATATTGCATCCAGGGAAAGGCTGTTATCCCCAGAACTAAGAGACAGCACTGTTATGGAGCTACTGCTGCACCACCAGGGTTCTAGAGCAAGAAATGGCATCTCTGAATGACAGGAGCCCAAAAAAGCCTTAGTGAAAAACTAGCCTTTTACCTTCTTTCCCTATTTTTTAGGATGTGGGGTCCTGCTATATTGAAAATATTATCAGCTGCTCAGTAGAAAAACCTGGAAAAAATGGAAACTCCAAAACCCCTATAAAATCATCCCCTGCATTTTCATTTGTGGCTGTAAAATATGGCACCATATTCAGAAGAAAAACTTTATTTCACTTAAAGGATCCAGTTCTGCCCTCAGGGGTTCTGTGTGGACTTGTCTTGTTGGTCTCAGCACAGGTAGTGCCCAGATGACTATTTCGGAAATAAAGTCCAACCATGAATGAGTCATCACAAAGTTGCTTCAGAACAGGCAGATAGTTCTTCAGCATTTGGAGAAACCTTCTGAGTGGTTTTTGTCCCTGTCCTTTGCTTCAGTCAGGGAAAAGCAGCTGAAACTACAAAGCACTTGGAAGAGTTCATGAAGGCTGCTGAGAATGCTCATCTAAGACAAAGCCTGGTGGATGCATGTGTATTACTTGGGAATATTTACAATGAAAGAGTAAGTATTGGTTGCAGTAATATGTCAAACAATTGGGTTTAATTCATGGTAAAAAACTAAGTTTGCATAAGAGATGGCCCAGAATTATTTCATCCAGGTATTATGTCTTACAAGAGCTACCAAAGAAAATATTGTGTGACTAAATAAAATGTGCCATAAGTTTTTGGGTGAGGTGAAAAATTCACACGATATTTAACGCATAGGGGTTTGTTCTAGAAAAGGTGAGTAAAAATTCCAAATTCAGATTATGGAAAATTTTCAATGTTGTGAAAATCTGCATCCAAATCACCATTCAAGCCTCATATGCCCATAAAGAGTTAACGCAAATGAAATTTTATTGTACTACACATTGAAATTCATGCTTTTTTAAAATGAATGTATACTATATTGAGTATTAATAAGCAGTATTTTAATTTAGCTTTTATTTTTTCTCTACATTCTCTCAGCTAAATTTAAAAAGTGGGTGCTAGCAACAAATAGTTTGGCAAAGGTCTGTGCTGGTAGTGTTCTGGTAGTGGAAGTGCTTTCCCTCCTTTATGCCTCCATCCAGTCTGATGGCTTTGATTTGGCCTGTCTAAATGAATAGATAGTCATTGATAGGCAATATTAAATTGAGCCAGAGGTGACTAAGAAACTCCTTTATTATAGTTTCTAAGGTCTTTTGAAGTGCTTCTTTCAGACCCATGTGTCAGTCACTGAATGGTTCTGGGATGGATCCTGCAAAGGCAGCAGTTCTGTTGGCAGCCTGTCTGACTAGCGATTTCCATGCTTACTCTGTCCCTTACCGCATCTAGAGATGTAGCACTTGCACTGCAGTAGCACTTTTTTTAAACGAGAAGAGTTAAAAACATTGCTGCAGAAGTGAAAGATTCATGTTGAGCTCTTAAACACCTATTTTAGAGCTGAAATGTTACATGACATTATTTAGATACAATGAGTAATAAAAACAATGTCCTACAGCCTGTACACTGTGGAAATTAGGAAACAATTCCACTATGAACAAAATAAAAATAGAAATCCCATTTCAAAACCACCCTTTCTAGCTTCTGTGCCCTGATTTTTGTCAGAATTTCTTTTCCATGTGTAATATATTGAAGAGGATACTTGCCCCTTTTCACTTCCACTACCATCAGATGCCTTTGAGTTTTTTCCTGGATTTCTCTTACAGAGAAATCCCACTACCAAAGCTGCTGGCCTATTTCTTTTTTTCATGAGCTGTAGAAAATATTCTTACTCTGTTCTCTGTATTAGCTTAAGAGGCTTCTATTGTACATATATTCTTAGCACAAATGCTAAATTTCACATTGAAAATCAAGTTTTGAGTCCTTGAGAACTTGCTAAAGTAACTCTAAAATGGATCTAAAATTTAGAAGAAAGTAGAGTGATGTGACACTGGCTAAATTATTCTACTCCAAATTCAAAAAATAATTAACTAAATTCTGCTTAACTATATCTCACTGCTTCTGCCACCATTGCTAATAAACAGTTCTATGAGAACTGATATTTTAAGAATTAACCACTTTTTGGTTATTATCTAAATTATCCTTCACGTTTCAGAATTTGCTGCCTTGAACTGAGGTAGTGGTGCAGAAGAGAAGAAAGTTAGTAACTTAATCTAATTAATTTACATAAAATATATAAATTAAACATAAAATAAAATCTTCTCAAGATTTACAATTCCCTATATTATACACCATTTTTTCTGCAAGGTCAGCAATGTTTACCAAAACTGAATCTAAAGTACCATTTCCTCTCTTGGGTCACTGCCTGCTTGGTGTCAGCTGTCATCACCAGTATTCCCTAATTCATTATTAGGGTATTTTTATTCAACTCTGTACTTCCCTGGTGACACAATTTGCAGTAGTACTATCCTTTTCATCGAATTAAAAGATATCTCCATTTATACCCAGATATGTCCTTAGGGAGCCCTTAGTAAACCAGGTATATAACTTTTACTGTTCTTCATAAAGTGACTTTGACCAAATTCACTTTGTTCTGTCCATGCTGTTGCTGTATCTTTACATTTCTGTCATCTTACTATTCCATCACCATCACTGTCTTTCTTTAATGCTGAACAATTGGTTCATGCTTTCTAGACAGGCTTGGTTTACCCGTATATTTCTTGTTTCCTAAAATGCCTTGGTTTGTGTAATGTGCAAGTATTAGGTCTAATTTCTCCCAGTTTAAGTAATTTAAGTAAGTTAAGTAAGTTAAGAGTTCCTTACTTAATATGCAAACTCTGTCAGTTAACATGACACAGTGTCTTTTTCATTTTACTTTTCTCAAGTTTCTTAGCCTGATTTGTTGTATTCCTCTCACTAATTGCATCACTTAACCTATTATAGTTCTCATGAGTATGATATGTAGATGTTTCTGCTTTTCATCTATTATCCTACTGCTTATTGTTCATTATTGTATCCCCATATGCCTGAATCTGCTCTCTTGTATTAAACAAAGCTTAAAGACTACCTGAATTTCTGTTACTCTTTCCTCCTTTTTAAATTACATGCACATTTTAGCAGTTATATAAATTTTGATCCCCAAAAGTAATATCAAGTGCAACAGGTATCAGTTGGAGTCTCTCCTCCTGGTTTATGCTCTATGCACAAGGAAATTTCAAATTTATTAAATTGAGCTGAGAGTGAAAGAATACAACAGCTCTGAAAATGTTTTCACTCAGGAAGTTTGTGCCATCAGGGCAGCAGAATTCCACACCAATAAGAGAGAATGGAAGGCATCATCCAGAGGTGCTTTAATTTGTATTGTATGTTCAAAATACTACAAAACCAGTTTTGCTCCTGAGAAAGATGTGAGCAGTGTTACCTGGATTTTAGAGCTTAGGAAACAGCAAGGGAGGTTTGCTTAATACCTTGCCATGAGTCATTCTGTGGTCTGGCCTCTCAGCTGCAACATCTTTGAGGTGCCAGAGGAACAGGCTCTAACAATAATGTCAGGATAAAATACAGGTGTCTAGAAGTAGTTTTTACAATTTTTTTTTTTTTCTTTCTTTACCAGGGGAGCTATAATGAAGCTTGTGAATATTTCAGTCAGGCTTATGAAACAGCAAAAACTTTAAATAATTTGCCCTTAGTGGATGAAACAAAAGCTTACTATGGCATTGCAAAGGCTCATAAACTGATGGTGCCATTTAATAGCCATATAGTAGCAGAAGATGTCATCAGCCTCAAGTATCTGCTGGCATGGAAAGAGAACAGAAGTGACATGTGCACTGACCCTCTTACAGTTGGTAAGACATTGGTTATGAAACACATTAGTGCTGCATTGTCCTCAACAGTTAAGTCATTTTTCTTGAGGTTTTTTATTAAGTTATTTCCTGGGTTTAATTCACGTGCTGAATGGGGTTAGATTTACTCCTTTGTCCGCTTATTTTAAAGGCTGAATTAAGTCTGTTTAATAACAGGTAGAAACAGGGATAAAACGGGGAGAAAAAATATAACAACGAGAAACAGATAGTAGTAGTTGCTATGGATGGTAACTTACTTTTTTTCGGTGCTGTTTTCCAAAACATCGTTATGGGCAAGCAGTGTTGTATTAGTTTATTCAATTATCATTATTTTAATCCTTAAAAAAAAATTTTAAAATCTTCATTTCTGGACAGTTTTTCATGTGCATCCAAGGATAAGTTCCCTGTTTCTAAAAGTAAGAAATAATTTCTGCTTGATATAGGGAGCATAGTTTTGAATTCGGAAGAACATGCTATTTTATTTTTAGCATCCTTATACTTGACATTGGAGAGGAAGGAAGGAATAAAAAAAAAACCAAACCTACTCTGTTTTCTTCACTGTGTTTCCTTATCTGAGATAAAGGGTAGAGGAGGACTTTGTATGGAGTAGACCTCTTCATGGGTTAAATTTTCTTTACTTTTTTTTTCCCCTTTGCTATCTGTTAATACAAGAAAAACTGAATAATGCATTATCTCCAAGTATTGATAGTATTAAACTATATTGTTCTTTGGAAGGAAAAAGGACAAGTGTACTACATCTTAAAGCTTTCCTCTCTGTATTCCTGTGGAGAGTGTGAATGTGGAGTATAGTGCAAATAAATGACAGCTGGGTCAAATTCGTAACATGGAGCTTCAGAGTTACTGTGTCCAAATTCCCTCAGTTATCATACTCTCAAAGACAAAGAACTGCATGTCTGCTGTTTTCTTTTGTACCTTTTCCTTTAATAGCATTGGAAAATGAAGTATAACTTCAATTGTAAATTTTATATATAAAATAAGTGGTTTAATAGACTGATATTCAAAGATGTTAGCAGCTTAATAGGAGCCAGGATACCAGAGGCAACACTGGAAGCAACTGAGAACTGTGGAACAAAGACATTCACTGGCATGCTAAAGTGATGACAAATTAGGTAGCACACTCTTTGGAGTTCTAGTGATGGTAACAGGGCAGTCCTTTCTCAATGACATTGGGTTTCTTTTTCAATGACTGTATATATTTATGATTTTTGCCTCAATAAGTGAATATTCAGCACATTCTTAGATTTTGGTGGCTTGCAGAATTAACTGGGTGCATGTCTCCTGCAAAGGACAGTAAGTTCCTAGACCTGTAGTGCACATGCCAAGAATCCCAATATGGTCAAAGAAGAATCCAATGTCAAGCAATTTTATATGTATTTCACATGAGGATCATTAGCTGTAGCTGATGTAAATAGGAGGCAAAGAAAAATCAACAATGGCAACAACAAAAGAACAGGAGCCTCAACAATATAGGATGATATTTGTATCTTCAACATTTATTTTACTTCTTTCACCTAAAGAGGTTTTCCATTCTACTTTTATACATTGCTTTCTCCAGTCAATGGTGAAACTTGTTTATATCCTGAAATGGTATGTGCCCCTTTAAGCTTGAGATTCACGCTTCTTTTTAACGGTACTTAGGGATAAAAAGAGTATGATTAGAAAAACCCTTTATGTCCTGGCAAGCATGATGCCAGAAACAAGTTTTGCCTGCTGAGATTCTCTTCCTTCTGCATTTCTGCCTAGTTTACCCTCTGTTACTTTCAGTATTAGTTTTTATTTTAGTTCCAGTTAACTCCAGGAACCCTGTGGCTACTGCATATTTAGCATCTCTTCCAGTTCAATATCATTCTTCTCATTAGTGCTCCAAGCTTACTCTCATGATACCCCAGATTACATCCAGGAAAACATAGTGTCACACTGTCAGCACAATCTGTAACATTCTTCATGTTTTGTGTGCCAAATCTCTTGTTAGTACTGGCATTACATTTTTAATATCTTTGTCTGGCAAAACATGACCTGGCATTAATTCAATATTATTCACTGGCTTTGAGTTTCAGGTACAGCCTTTATCCTACCTTCCAGGAGAATGTCTGTGCATCCTGTGATGAACTCATCACTTTGGAAATTCCTGCTGTGATAATAGAACAGTAATTCTAGCTCTTTCAAACAGCTCAGCATCAATAACCTACTAGATTTTTCTCAGTCCTTTTAGGATGAAACAGCTAAAGACAAGATACAATACTAATTCTTAATCCATGGGGGATTTAATGACAGGAAGGTAATAAATTTTTATTTCTGACTGAATAATGTTTCTGTCACAAAAAAAAAAAATTTAAATCAGGGTAGTTTCTGTATTCTTAGACAGAATAAATACTTAGACTATTAGACAAGCAATGATATTTAAATTCAAGTACTGCCATGTACCTTATGTCTTTCAACCAAGACTTATTTTCTAAATCAATCATTTCAACAACTAGGCAGGAAGAACCATTAATTACTCAACTTATCTCAACATTTATTAATAAAATGGATGCTTTGACCAAAGTTGTCATGGACAAAAGGGACAGGATTGTCAGAAAACTGTGTTTATAAATGTAAAGGACAACGTTTCCATCTCCTGCATTTGACTTGGTCACCTGTCTTCGCTTACAAAAGGAATATTTATGCCACTGTGAGATGCCACTGCAAGAACAAATAATTTTTTTATTGATCTGTTATGATTAGTCAAACATATTTTCAAAACAATCAGCAGAATCAGTAGATAAAAAGGCTTGTGACTCCATGTTAGAACCTAAAAAAAGAACCTACAGCACGACTAACATTGATGAAAAAATATTTCACAAGTCTTTCAATAAATAATCTCCAAGGGAGAAGAATAATTAAAGGTGCTGAAGGCAGGAAAAATTTGGATCAGATTTTTTATATTGATTACATGAAATGCTGACCAGGAATTGTGTTTTCTGTGAGTCTGGCAACTTCTAGGTCATTGCATCTAGTAGGGCTGTGCCTCAGCAAGAGGTCTTTGATGCTTGAAATCATCTAAACACTTTTAAGAGTAGACTTAAAATGTATCATTTTCCTCATACTAAAAAGTCTTCTGTTGTTTTCTTGAGAAACGTTCTGTGCTTTTGAGAACAATTTAGATTACATTTCTTAACATCAGAGAACTCTGAAAAATTGGCACATTTTACAATCACAGGTTTTCCGTGTTTTCTTGTTTTGGTTTGGTCTTTTTTCTTTTTTTTTTCTTTTTTTTTTTAATAGCTATAACTGCAGGGTAAATTATTGTCTTACCCATATCATCAATTGTGACGTCCTACAATCAACAGAATTATCTTGTACCATCAACTTCAGAACTATTTCTAGCATTCCTCTTTAGAACATGATAAACTGCATTTTTTACTGTCTCTTCTTTCTGAAGAACACTAATTCCAGGAAAACTTCTAACAGTACGAATCTTATCTTTCCTTCTTTAATAGGTACCTCAAATGCATGCTAAGGAAAATTGTTATGCCATGGCACTGTACCCAAAATGCTCGACTGTACTTGAGCAAATCAAAGCCAGTCTTCATCAGGAACATGCATTGTAAATTATATTTTGATTTGCCCAGTAAATTTGCCTTGGTGGTAGCAGAGTTTGTGATCTGAGAATATTTAAAAGGGAAGGCATGGTGTACTGATCAGAACTATAAAACCAGCAAGTATTTGTACCTTACACAGATAAACATCCATAAAATAGTTTTTATGTGATATCAGTGGAAAGGTAGTGGCTTGGGTTAACAGGTTCCTTTCACTCCATATTTCATATTTAAAGCTCTATCACAGATTTTGGCCTATCGTGATACTGACGTAGGACTATCAGAATTGTGCACATACATGCACTCCCTCAAAACCACTGTCTGTGTCTCTTATATTTATTACTTTAAAAGGTCTATTCTTCAGTTAGCATGTACAGAAGGGAAATATATATTAGCTTGTATGGTGACTGAAATTAGCATACAGTCACTATTTTAACATGTTTCTTTTTGATGGCATATTAGTGGGGTTTGTAACTATGTTGTCAAGTAAAGTTAGTGACAAAGTAGCTTGACTGATTTTGAACAGGACAAACTATGACTTTCTTCCCAACCACTGCTGTAAAGACAATGGGAATGACTCAGACCCTCATTTTGGGAAGTTGAGAGCGTGCCTGTGCCTCACAAGAACCCTCTGGGGTCCATCTTCCTCTCAGCAGTCTGTTCACTGTGCAAGACTCTGGATGTAGGATCTGTAATGGACACTCCTTCAAGTTCTATATGTTTATGATATACGTCAATATCAAATTGTTAATATGACCAAAAATAATGAGAAATTGAAAGGACTTTAGAGACAGGTTTCAGTGTTTTCTGAGAAAATACAGCTGAACGTGGAATAAGGGAATTATACACTTGTTCCCACTATTAAATAAGAACTATGAATTTAAATTATTGAAAGGTATGTAACCAAGTACAGATTCCAAGGCTGTCCCTGTACCAGAGCACAAAGGCTCACTTCTTCATAAGCATGTTTCAGAAGTAGCTGAAATGCTTTAAGTGTTCCCCACTGAAATTCATAGGATAGCTTCTTCCCATTTTTGTGGGGTTTACTGATTTGAATAATTTGCTTTCTTCTGGAAAAATACTGTGGTTAGAAATGTCAAAATATGTACATTTAAAGAAAAATGATTAGGAAAAAAAAATGTAGAGGTGTTTCTGTCTTTACTGTTCCCTGAAAATTTTCTAAACTCGTACTGCCTCTGCTTGTTCGTATCACCTAGCACTCACCAGTTGCTGAATTTTAGCTTTTCTCACTTTTCTGTTTAAAGAATCTCAGTCTTTTCTATTTTTTTACTGCTGTACCTTTGATATTAATGCAAAATATCCTATGTAATTGTTGAAAACCAGCATGCTTACATATAGACATTGATGACATGGAACAGATGTGTTTCAGAAAATCATCTTATGCGCTTATCATGGTTTAACCCCAGCCAGCAACTGAGTTGTAACTCATTCACTTCCCTCTTCCCTTCAATAGGATGGGGAGAAGAATAAGGAAAAAAAAAAAACAACAAAACAAAAACCTCATGGGTTGAGATAAGAGCAGTTTAATAATTTAACTAATGTAAAATATAATAATAATTGTAATGAAAAGGAAAAAAAGAGGAATAAACCCCAAGAAACCCAAGTGATGCACAGCTCGCCACCCACTGATCAATGCCCAGCCCATCCCCAGGCAACAATTGGCATCTCCTGGCCAACTCCAATTCCAGTTTCTATACTGAGCATGACATTCTGTGGTATAGAATACTCCTTTGGCTAGTTCAAGTCAGCTGTCCTGTCTCTGCTCCCTCCAGGCTTCTTGTGCCCCTCCTCATTGGCAGAGCATGACAGACTGAAAAGTCCTTCATTAGGGTAAGCACTATTCAGCAACAGAAACATTGGAGTGTTATCAACATTATTCTCACACTAAAGCCAAAGCACAGCACTGTACCAGCTAATAGAAAGAAAATTAACCGTATTCCAACCCAAACCAGGACAGTGGTTCACATATTTTATTTATTATTAATTGGGGTTTGGTTTTAAGTATTTGATTAAGTCTACTTATCTACTTTGATATTTTTAGAAAGTGAGAGTGATTATTGCTTGAACTACAGAAAGAACTGAGGGTGACAGGGAAGGTTTTTGTTGCATTGTGATAAGCAGCCTGACTCAGCAGATTCTGAATGAAGAGTCTGAGAACACATTTTAAATGTCAGTTTAGCTGTGAGTGCAGTAGCTTGTGTTTTCTGCTGATGGCTGAAGTTTGTCTGACAAGGAAGTGTTAATATTCAGTGTTCTCATGCTTTGTACAAATGCACTATCCAGGTTTTTTTCCTGTGATTTTTTTTTTCTTTTTTCCTGTTCTTTTAATGCTGCCTTAATTGGGATTGCGACACAGGATCAGACTCAGACCAGGTGTGTGGATTGGCAGTACCAAATTTGAGAGGATTTGTGGAATATTTTGATGTTTAGCCATGGAATAATATGGTAGGAGAAGTTTCTTCATATTTTTTGCCAAGAGTTGGCAGTTCTTGTATAGCTAAGTGGTGTTATAACTTCAAAAAATTCAATATCATCCTGCCTAATGTGACTGTGAGTATTCTTGACATCAGTTACATATAAACATCTTAACCAGAGGAGGATTTGGATCTCATCTAGATTTTTCTTCCATCTTATACTTTCAATGGAAACATCTAAATCTCACCATACATTTATTTTCTTTAGACACAACCTGTGCTAAACATTGTTGCCATCCAGCTGTGTTTTCCCAGACAATCTTTTTAGATCAGCAAAAAATATTTTCCTAAATAAGGTGAATTGTTCTTTCTTGTGAAAAAAATAAAAAAAAAACAAACAACATTGGAAGTGGTGTTCAAGCTACAATATATTGTCAGACTCTTTAGTGTAGCTTTATCCATGGAACTAGTATAGCTTTGTGCACTGCATTGTCAGTGCTTCTTCCAAATTGTAGTCCCCTACCAGTTTAAATTTTCAGAGCTGAAGCTCAGTCCTGCTCTGATTCTCTAGGACACTTGAATGGCACAAAACAAACAGAAAGTCTTGCCCAGCCACATTAGGACACTTTCAGAGAAACCCTTGATTTGGAGGCACCTAGGAGTTTCAGCTTTGCCTGCAGTCCAGAGCATAAGAAATGCATTGACAAAGAGAAGAGTCATAATGCAAAACAGCTGGCAGCTGAAACCATATTTCTTTTGCCCAAAAATCCACCTCTCTTTTTATTCTTTTCCATAATCACTAAGAATATATCATGTTTTTTGGAACAGTTTCTGAAACAGTAATTTTCTTCTTGTTTTTCGTCCTTTCCTGTCTGTTCGGTGTCCTACATTTGTTTTGTCTCTTGTTCTTCACTTCCATATTGTAAATTATTCTCTCCCCACTTTTTGGCTCCACACCTTCATTCCAAACCCCAATTTTATGTATGTTTCCAGTCAATGTTCAAAGAGCAGAAGTCAGTTACCCCTATACCCTGTAGTTCGCATCTCAATCTATACCTTATTAGGTATATCTTCTGTGTTTGCAGTAGAATCAATAGATGTTTTTTTAAGAGCGGTGTTTTAGTTTCTTCATACTTGGCATTCTGGCACCGATCTTCATGCTGTGTCTTTATTACACTGTGATGAGAGAATACACTGGAAAGAATCACACTTCCTATTAAATATCACAGTAAATTGGTTAATAGAAAAATGCAAAGTATCAAAATAACCTTTAAAGAGGCCTTAATCACCTGAGTGAATGGACTGACTAAATTTAAGTATACAACTAGTGATTAATTACCTTGAAGATCCAAATGAATGCTTAAGCAGATGACCATGCCCCCAGGCTCATCCACTTGTTTCTACTCAGTTAGTTAAGCATTCAATATTATCTGTAATACAAAATATTCTTATTTAAGGGCTCATACAAATCTTGCCACAGAGCTAAGTAATTATACAGTATTTTCCATAGTGTGTCATACAAGTGCACCGTTTCAAACGTGTAGCTACTATCCTATAATACTGAAAATAATAAGTATCAGATAGAGTAATTGATCATGGGAGGCCAATTTGAAATTGTTGTGAATCAAGGGGGTTTTTCATATTTTTCCATGGTTGCTACAGTGTTTTAATCCAATTCCTTTTCCTAAAAATTCTGGCACATTTTTTGATTTTTGAGATGTAGCTGCTATGGATGTTAGTCAAACAGTGCTGCTAGTGTCAGCTTCTGTGGGGAATTAATCTTATGCAGCAGTCTTTGAAATGGTAAGTGCAGGTGCCCATCACCATCATATCTGAACTTTATTCTTATTCATACACTAATGATAATGTCTGTGAAAGCCTGTACTCAAACTATGTCTCTTTTGTGAAGGTGTATTTTGTGCTGCTTGATATTTACAAATGATATGAACATCAAGCTGTCTGATTGTGTCTACGTACCTCAGCCAGGGCATAGTTAGGACTGTGCATTTAACTCACTGCCAATATAAAATTTAACCTGAAAAATGGAGGTTGAGTATGCCATATAGCAGTCTTGCTCAGTTCATGTTGTGAGCCCATGGAATCTGAGGAATGAGAACTTCAGATTATGCCCCAGTAGCTGGTGTCAAGGAAAATCAAAATGTTATAGTTGGTAGGAATCAGGAGGGGAGAGGGCTGCATGCTGCACAATATTCGTAATTCTGGGCTATCCACTGATTCCTTATCCCGTGTGCAGAACTTGAAGCCCTCTGTTTACCTGAATCTTTTGTTCTCCTGGTGGAAAAAGTCACTTCAGGGTACTAGGGAGCCCAGTCTTTTGACTCCAGATTCTTTCACTCTGCCAAACAGCATCTTGAGATGTGTAATTCCCTGAAAATAAGCTTATCCTCACTGGTACCTTTAGCTCATTTTTGAGAATAATATTAAAGCAAATTGTATTTTATTTTGTTGATACTTCTGCAAGTATGCACAGTAAGAAGAGAACTGAGATGAAACATTAATGATTTTAAGCAATCGATATATTGGAGGATATCTGGGTTTCTGTTCTTGTCATCTCTTATATATCTTGAAATAGCTCACTGTTTGCATGGGGGAAAGCAATATTTCAGTTGCTATATTAAAACTTAGTAGCTAATAATGACAGCAACAAGTTAGCTGTGATTACCAGGAAAAGATTGTTCAGGCTAATGACTTTGAAATTTGATTTAGATAAATTTAATTTGGGTTTAGTTCAAAATAAAATCTTTTTATTACATACTTTTAATTATTAATTGTTGTAGTGCAATTATAGTAGCTGTTTGGAAGGTGGAAGTACATGTGGATTATATATACATGTATATGTACATACAGAGAGAGAAACTACACGGCAAAGAGAGGAAAATGTAAATATGCTAAAAATTGTGAACCAAATACTGTTTTTTATTATGCCCA